CAACAAATGCTACTATAAAAGTTTTACATTTGAATTAGACTTATCCATGTTGATAGTTTATAATAATATATTTGTATATGCCAACTGTATATGCCAGATTAATTGGCAGCCATTAATGCATGCCTATACATGTATATATACTATGCTCAGCTCATAATTTGAAAATTTAATTAACTACTTGCTCAAATCAGCGGCAACCTTCCTAAGGTTTTGATATTTATTCCTATGTTATTGTTCAAATTAAAATTGATATTTCTTTGTGAGAGGTGTTGCACCAGTCAATGTATTAAAATCTGTTAGCCTTAGTGTAATGCCAGGAAAATTCTCCATGTTTTTATATGAAATAACTATGTGATGGTATTCAAGTTAACCAGATTCTCTACTTGCATTTCATGCTAACTCGTTAAGATAAACGTGCTCAACTTTTTTATTTTACCTTGTCTAACACCAGAACATTTTACTTGTGAAAGGGAGTGGACAACTTTGATAGCTAGGTTATCTTACTGTCTCCCTGTGTTATGTGTAAACTCATTAAGACCTCATTCACACGAATGTGCTCTATTTCAAAGCTGAATATTTTGCCCTGTCTAACATCAGACTATTCTGCATTGTTTGGTGTTAACACATTTAGATACAATTCACCCAAACACTCGATCCTCACAAGTTTCAGTACTTTGATATTTAATTATCAGATGATTTTACTCATCAGGATGAGTGTTGGTCATTGAAAGGTTAATAATTAACTACAAAAGCTTCTGTGTTGGCATATTTAGAACCAATGTGCCCTACTTTTAGTACTTTGTTATTTTATTATGTTTATTCCATTAATGTGTTAGTCTGCTAGACTCTCCACTTAACAAATAAAATTGTCTGGCATTAGACAGAGTAAAAGTAAAACATAGCGATTTGGCATTTGACAGAGTAAAGTTGCCTACCTTTAGACAGAGTAAAATAATAAATTGGGTGCATTTGGGCACATTTAATGGGTTAACAAGACACATTGGAATGTATACATTAAATAAATTTGTCTTTTTACAGCTTATGTATCAACAAAGTAAAGATGTAAGCAGGCTTTTAGCCAGAGTCCTAAAAGAGGGCGTCCAATTTTGGTACAAGGATACATCTACAGTAAATAGGGGGGGGGGAGGGTTGAGAAAACGTTGTTCTGGAAAACCTTTGAAGTTTACGTTACTTCATGTCAGTATCTGTTCCAAGCTCGTTCGAAATTTTTTAAACACACTCGGCTTTGCGAGTTTGTCCGCTATGCTTCTTTACTTAACTACGACATAATTTTCATTCAGCCAGGTACACCATCAAATTGATCAATATGTCAAATGTATAATAATAATGAGAATTGAAGCTATTTCGTTTCAGATATATTAATAGGGAAATAATTGAATATAATTCCCTTTTTTCCCCAGAATTTGAGCGTCCAGAGGCGTCCATTTTTTGTTCTAGGGGCGTCCCAGAACGCCTGAATGCCCTTCTGGCTAAAAGGAGTAAAAGCCTGGATGTAAGGCCTCAGAGGTTCGTCAACATATGAGGACAAAAATGGTTATATTATTGTGTTCAAATTACATATATTTAACTTTTGAAGGGGTGTCCAAATGGAAGTCAACTGGGACACCGGCGATAGTCTCTTAGTCCAATTCATGATTTAAAATTGTACTAGAAAAATAAAACAATTCAATACAGCTTCCACTTAATATCACGGATTGTATACTTCAATCGATGCTATCTAACATTTGTTAAAATATAAAGGGACCCTATCAGCCAACTATAATGACGAGGCTCCAACTAGATCCGTGAAGAATTCCTGTCGTAAAAAAGATCCTTATAGTAGAGACCCCTATGGGAACGGTAAAAATATTGTAGATGTTTCTGCCAAAAAGACGTCAATACTGTACCTTAATATATGTAAAGGTCTTTTACAAAAGCCCGTGCCTCCATACCAAGGACATTGGACCTTAATACCGGATAATTTCGAGAAAATTTTCACAACTTCAAATTCTGCATTGTTTTCAAAGTACACTGTTAGCGCACAGGTATAAGAACTGGGAGACGTCTATGGGACTGTTGAAAAGAATGTTGTGAACAGGTCAAGTTTATTGAAGGATTTATTTTGAATGAGGTATTTGTGAGATTCAGGCCTGTTTCAAACGTCGCGCTTCTCATGTGCCGAACGCGTTAAAAACAATAGATAATCAGATGAAATTCCTCGTTATCTATTGTTTCTAATGCGTTCGGCACATGAGAAGCGCGACGTTTGAAACATGCCTCAGAGCTTTTTAATATTATTTTTGACTTTTTTTATTCAATGTTTTCAAGTCTACATTTCAGAAAAAAAGACATTCCTTTGGCATAAACATACTGTATATTTGACCCTTTCTTTAAGAAGTCCGATTTTGACACTTGACCCCTTAGGCTTAGGGACAGCGGAAGCTGGGAGCTGGAGGCTTCAGCCCCTACTCCCCCCCAAAAAATTTTCATGATACTGAATGCATATGCTCTTAAATTGTGCTTGGTTTGGGAACTGGTACACTATAATAAATACTAATAGTTGCATAGTGTTACTATCATTGCATGCAAAGTTGAAATATATTTCTCCTTTTTTTATATGACACAGCCATTCATCATTGGCCCGACTGCATTCCAGGCCCCTCTCGCCAAAGATCTTTGGCGGGGAAAAATTTTCTACTGACTTTTGGCAGCGTATTTTGGCGTAAATTTTAGCTCATCCACAATTTTTGGCGGGGCGTGCAGTCTAGAAAAATGACGGTTACGCAAATGTACCAATAAATATTTTTTTTATTTAAAATATGTTACAATAATTTTTTTATAAGCCTCTAGATCGCATATTAAATCAATTATTTACAGTCAATATTAATTAATACAATATGTAAAATCAGAAAGTTTTGACGTATATATACATTATGTACAAAAGAGAAAAAGAAGGGGGAATTTTCGTATTATATAATTGAATACTAATGTTGTAGATACATTTGAATTTTTTACAATGATTTGGCTACAATATACTAAAGTACTATATATTATATACATTTATAAAATAGCATTTGTAAATTCTGAACGCTAATTGGCTAAGAGCCGTGTTGATATAACTCCATGTCATTTACAACAATACAATTTCGCTTGATTTTCAAAGGCCGTAAATCGCTAGAATGCTCTTGTTTAGTAACACATTTGACATCCGTAAGTACAATTTCTTACGCTGAATCGAACGGTGGTATTTTTATCCTTATTGCGCCATTAGGCATTACAAATCATTGAACTATAAGTAAACTATATGGTTTACTTATAGTTCAATGTTACAAATACAAGAACAAACGTACTGCGAGTGATTTGTCTGTCAGCAATACGTACTGCGAGCGATTTGTCAAAAATACAATTTCGCTTGATTTTCAAAGGCCATAAATCGCTAGAATACTGTTGTTTTGTAATACATTTGACATCCATAAATACAATTTCTTACGCTGAATCGAACGATGGTACGCGAAGCAGCTCACTATTCCTGACACGTGTTATAGCGCATTTGAATTTCCCGCCAACAGTTTTATATACTTGAAGCGTATCTCGATTTTGTGTCGTTCAAGTGTTTGTCGGCAGTTGTGACGTCAAATTATGACGTTGCAGTAAGGAATTTACATTGGAGCATTATCATACTCCAGGAGTTTACGATAGCAAATCGACGACTGCCGAATACCAATGCCGAATACTTTGTTTAGTGATCTGCGAACGACGTACCACGAATGGGGTTTTGAAAATATTTCGATCTGCAGCTTCGCAGCATATAAACAATTTATAAAACATGACAATCATCCCGCCTCATATCTCGTCCTGGCAAAGCGGGGTCATATAAACAGCCCCTTATTCAGCAAATTGTGCATGCTGCCTTTGTTCCCTTGGGGTGAGGCAGCACTTCCCTTGCGATAGTAACTTCTAGTTTTATCCTTATCGGCATTACAATATCATATTTCACAGTACAGTTTTCACGTTTTCACAGCTGACTATTACTATTAGGGACTGTTGTTGCATAAATTTTATATTGATTACCAATATGCTTCTCATAAAGTAGTTATCTATTAAAACTACGTTGTGTAGTTTAAGTTATAACCTTTTACCTTGAAATTGTCTTTGGCTCGTTTATATTCAGATTCAGTATAAGATCATGCACGGGAATTCAAAGATCCAAATTTCGGATTTTCAGAGTCGTGGACCAAGAAAAATGCATTAGCTAAACTAGCAAAAATGCCCAGAGTTAGACACAATACAAAATCCATAGAAAACAGATACATTTCGTTGAAAATTTTAACGAAATTGTCTGAAACATTTTGCCCACTCCACGGAAAGGCCGCCATTTTGAAAAGGATAAATTGGGTTTTATTAGGCAGCTCATTAATATTCTATTTTGTGGCTATCAACGACGATCGGAAATCCGACATCTGACATCCACCATGCGTGCCCTCTGATGCGTGCCGAAACCTATACTCGCCTGGGCACAGTGCCCCAGCGAGTAATTATGTAGCCTCTTTTGTATGCGGCTCTATAGGGGTGACATGTGGCCAAACTCGTTCCCAAGCTCTTCCTTTTTGTGTCGGGGTTTTCTTTAAACTAATTCGCTACGTGAATTATTCGTTTTTAGATAAGCCTTCAATAGTTTGATATCGAATTAAAGTTAATAGGATGATGCAAATCTACGTTTTTAAAGGACAATGGCACCGAAAATTTTTATTGGCTATTTCAATCCCACTTGACGACCTAACTATGAAAATATTATCATTTCGTTCTCA